GCATGCACAGACCTGTTGAACACGCTAGCTCAGCAACAGGGCCCTCTGGAGCCTGTAGGGGTTTCCCCTTCTGATCACATGGCTGCCTGAGAGATGCGGCTCCTTGCGGCTGCCCCAACTAACAAGAAATGAACCTTCTGCGAACTGCTGGTCCAGGGAAAGATGAAGACCGAAACTGAAGTAAAGTTCACATTGCACAAAGCGCACGCGGCTCTCGTATATCCATAGTAAAGCCAGAAAACCGGAACTTGAGCCATCATAAGCCAGCGACTGTTGGCAGATCGAGAGCTGAAAGGAGATGACAGACCTTGCTAGACCTCAGCTCGGGGCAGGAGTGTTGGGTGACAACATTTCTGATGCTCTGTGCTTCTCTAGCTTTTCTCGTTGTTGGGTGTGAGTTCACCGAGGGCTGGCTTACCCCCTCTTAGCCACATTTTACTGCTAGTGCCAGGAAACCTGCCTGGCACGCAGTAAGTACTGGATAATGTTTATGCTTCTGCTGGGGGATTGAGGAACTCCCACGGAAGAGCTTTACCTGTGTCCATGGGAATGAATAAGGGATAGGGAGACACAGCATGGTCCACCCTGGTCTAGGTGTTTGTCCCCACGTTCCTCATTATCTGATTTCCTTTTATACATGGGCTAGAGTCAGGCTGCCCAGGGCACAAATATGGGATCTGCTTCGTGTGTGTGTGTGTGTGTGTGTGTGTGCCTCATGTATGCTTGGCAAGCCCTCCAGAAGCGACACTACATTCCTAGCCCTCAGAATCTGCTTCTGATCACGTCACAGCCTTCAGCAAGTCCTTTGGTCTTTTTGAGTACCAGCTTTTTAGACAACAAAGTGGGGTGTCTGTGGTAGTACTTCAACTATCAGATGGGGTATGGTACCTGCTACCCTGTGGGTTACCGTGAGGGTTCAGGATGACAGTGCAGAGGAAGTTCAGCGCCTGGCATGGAATCCTCAGTAAACACGGGCTTTCAGTCTTAATGGTTCCCACAGCAACCATAAGAGTGGTGTGCTGCTGTACCCATTTTATAGATGGGTAAACTGAGGGTGGCTCTGTGAGTTAGCTAAGGTCATAAATAAGGGAGGGATGGATCTGGAGAGTCCAGACTCTTGCTTGGTAACACTTGGCTGTTACATAAGCTACACGAGGCCATTTTTACTAGAAGGAAAGATTCTTCCGGGCTGACTTGGCTCCATTTCTCAGAATAATGAGGGCAGTCTGGTTCAGCTCCTGCACTTATCTAGGACTAGGGTGGGGGAGACCCCCTCTCTCCTCCCAACGTGGGGAGCCCTTTCACACGGTACACGATTGGCTTTCTTTTCTCTGGCACTTGTGAGTTCCACCCTTTGGGGTGGGGTGTTGGCTTGTCACACGGAGTTTGACAGCCCAAAGGCAGAGGTAATTGCTGGCTGAAAAGGCAAAGAGGGAGGAGAGGGAAGAGGAGAAGCCTTCCGGGCTTGTAATAGACACCCTCGGTTCTTCTCGAACTCTCTCGGTCAAAGGGCCTACAAATCTGGCTGCAAGCTGGGATCCCCGGGGAAGTTCTTAATATTCAGATCCCCACATCCAAGTCAAAGCAATTACGTCTGGGTTTCGGGGTAGGGGTGGGGTATGGAACCCAGACAGCAGCATGTCTTACCAACAGCCAAATGCATGCCCAAGTTTGAGAAGTGCCGGGTACTCTGCTCACCCCTCAGCTCCGTCAGGAGGCACCTCGGGACAGCAGTACCTCCTTTCCCTATTGGGGACTTACTGTGCGGAGGCTGGGCATGCCTTCCGAGGCCCAGGCTCGTGGAGGATGTCTGGGTGCAAGCCAGAGACCTGGGGCTCTGTTCAGTTTAGGCCCAGCTCTGGGACTGCGGGGCTCCAGGTCCTCTTGAGGCAACAGCACATGTGGCCGCTCTGTCCTCGCTGGTCATCAATGCAGACCGCAAACGGAGCTCTGCGGCCGCCAGCCCACCCCAGCCTCAGACATTCTAGGGACACGCCCGAGGAATCCTACCTTGGCTGCCGGCGCTGTCCTCCAGTCCCCGGAACCCTACGACTCCGATTCCATCTGTCTCCCTCGCCGGCTCCAGACAGGCGCCCACTAGAGCACAGACGCCACCTCGTGGCTGTGGGGCAGTAGCGCGGGCAGGGGTTGGGAGGTGCGAGCGCAGTGCAGGGCGGAAATGCAGCTGGGCCTTCCCACGTGGGCGGCTTCCAACACGGTGGAGCCCGGGGGCGCAGATCCGGCCTGGGCCGGTCCACCTTCACCCCTTGGGGAGCGTGAGGAACGGAATTTGCGGTACTTTTTCTTTGAGGCGTGGAGAAGTTGTCAGGCCGGGGCCTCTGACCTGGGATCCACCTTGGGATATTCCTGGCAGGGCTCGTGGATCTTTCCTTTCCACCATCAGCCTTCAGTACAGCCTAGCGTGGCACGGCTTCTCCTTTAAAGGCGCTGGGAGCATCCGAAGATGCCTAGGACTGGGTTTATTTCAAGTCCAGGGAAGCCCGTCCCTATCAGCAGCCCTTTCTGTCACCTCCCACCCTTGCCCTCGTTGCTTGATCCCTCCGTCACCCTAGGCTGACCTGTCTGAAACACTCGTCTGTGCCAGAACGGGGGCGGAGTCCGTGAGACACAATTAGAACCCTCGGGAGTTGGCCACCCAGGTAGTGTTTCTCCCAGAACCTCATTAGCGTGTCTTTGGCTGGTACTGGAGGTCAGGTCATACAGCATCCCCGAGTCCTTAGCATCACGTGCCAGCAGCCACCCCCTTCATCACTGGGACGCAAAAAAAAAAAAAAAAAAAAAAAAAAAAACCACTCCTTCAGATTTCCAAATGTCTTCCTTGTTTGGAGGGAATAACACCACTGTCCACGGAAGACACGGTGAACATGGCTTTCAAAAAAGAACATGTAGCAAAATACAAAACAAACAAAATAACACACAGTAAGAACAAAGAGTTTGGGGGTAGGTGGGGGTTGGTTGTACGCTGAGGCAGAAACAGGCCGACCTCTGTGAGTTCTCCACCTGCCTGGTTTACACAATAAACTCCAGGCCAGCCTCAGTTCAACTGGTATAAGTACTTGCCACACACAGTAAATGGTGGATTATTGAATGCACTTAGGTCTCATTTATTCTTTAAATGAATATTATCTGAGCCTCTCTCTATACACCAGGCACTTGAGCAAACGAGGGATCCAACCAAGAACAACACAAAACCTCTGCCTCCTGGCTGCACACGGGTGGGAATTCAGAGCATGCACCAGGCAGTGCAAACCCAGCTAAGTCCCAGCGTGGAGTGGGAAGGTGGCCAGGGAACTCCACACCTAGCTGGGCAACTACCGGCATTTGATAGCCACTAGGGCAGGCTCCACACCCGAAGGGGAGGAGAAAGAGATAAGAGAGAGAGGAGAGGGGAGAGAGAGAGAGAGAGAGAGAGAGAGAGAGAGAGAGAGAGAGAGAGAGAGAGAGAGAGAGAGAGAACACCAACAGGAAGTTGTATGAGTAGGACCTGGGAGGAGTTGGGTGGTGAAATATGTTCAAAATATGATCAAATTGTTGGAAATTCTTCAACAAACACACACACACACACAACACATTTTGAGACAGGGTCTCACTATGTAGTCCTTGGTTGACCTGAAATTTATTTTGAAGACCATGCTGGCATTGAACTTGAGTCCCGAGAGTAAAAGTGTGCAGCACCATGCCCACCTTTAGAGAATTTATAAAAAAAAAAATATTATTATTATTTTCTAAAAGCCTCTGCCTTTTTCCAATTTACCTTTAATGTAATATCTAAATGATTTGTTGTGGTGAGAATGGACCCCAGGGCCTCAAGGATGCCAGTCAAGTACTCTACCCCTGAGTTACATACCTGCCCCCACATTGACACACTTTACAGGTGTACACACACACACACACACAGTGTGATACAACTGAGTTCTTCAATGTCAAGTACAGTATTTATAAAATGATACCTATTACAGGACTCCGGGGGCAGAAGGGGCAGACGGTAGGTGCACGAACTGCTAAGCTATATGAAGAACTTCCTTTAATCCTGGCAGTCATCCCTGTGACATTTGGTGATCGTGTCACCAGTGGAAAATCTGAGGCAATTCTCGAAAAGTCAAGTCTCGGCCGTGCACCCCGTCACACCGTGACTCTGGGGTCATCTCGGTCACCCTGTGTTCCATGTGCCCCCTTCATCTGTGGACTCTGCGCCTGTGTGGACATCAAAGGCAGAGGTAGGCGGAAGGTGAGACCTGTGGGTAAGGCCTAGAAGGGCAAGGGCAGGGGGGACAGGTGGCAGGTGTGTCCTGGAGGGCCAGTCTCGGCTTGCTTGTTGCCAGGTCGAGCCATGGTGAAGATGGACAAGTCAGAGAAGTGCTGACAGGGGGCGGGAGGACCAGGTGGCAGGTCAGTTCCCCTTCTTTTGCTTTCAAATGCCTCTGAGTCTCTTCCACTGCCCTGGTTGGTCCCCACAACAGCTCTCTCCTCTCTGCCATGTCCTAGTGCGTGCCTGGGCAAAGTCCTAGATCATTGCTTTGCTCTGGGAGGGAGTCTGATGCTTGGCATGACCTTCTGAGATGGGGGCACCTAGGATTTCCCCCTGGAAGGTCTCCAGCCTTTTCCTATTCTGTTGAACCATGCTGCTTTGGAAACTGCAACTATCAACACGTGTGTTTCCTCTTAGCTTGTGGTTTCTTGGGGGGGGGGGGGGGGGATGGCACAGTTTGATCTGTAGAAATAATGTCAACAATGGTAAGAATAGAGCCAGGCATGATGCCTGGTGCCTCTAATCCCAGCTGTAAAGGAGATGGGATACAGGAAGACGAGGAAGTAGTTTGAGCTACAAGAGACCTTGTTGCAAAATGGAAATTGCACAAGCACCAAACAGTAATAATAACTTTGAAAAAGATTTATTTTTATTTATATGTGCGTCACCCATGAACAAAACTGGAGTAATCAGCAGGGCAGTTTCTTTTTGTCAAAAGGATGGTTGCCATCAGCACCCAAACGTGGTCAGGGAACACAGTCAGGCAAGATGGCCTCTGTCTTTTGCTTCTGATGGAGGCAGTAACGGCCAATCAACCCATTGGCCACGAGTCTACAATCTGATGGGATTGGCTAATGAGGCAAGGGGAAGAGAAGGTTTAGAAGCTAGGGATACTTGTCAGTTAGGCTTACTATCTTTGCGGAAAAAAAAAAAAAAACCACTTCTCACATATCCATGTGCACATCTGTGTGAATATATCCCACTCATGTATTTGTGTGGCTGCCTTCAGAGGCCCTTGGGGCTAGAGTAAGTTATAGGAGGCTGTAGGCCACTGGCATGGATGTTGGAATTAAAACTTGGGTTCTCTGAAACAGCAGCAAGTGCTCCCAACTGCTGAGCCACCTCTCCGGCCCCGATATCTTTAAAATATATTAGACACCGAGGACTTTAGAGTTAATTTAGCCTCACAATAACCCTACATAGTAGGCACTACTATTTTTCTCATATGATCAGTGATGAAACCAGGATTTGTGATGCTGAAGTCACCAGCGCGCCTCAGGCTCGACTCCGGAGCACCTGCACAGATCAGTTCCTGGCGTGTACAGCAGACCTTGACCGAGGGACCAGGCACTTTTGTTCTCGGTTTCTTGTTCTGCTCATCACTTCCTGTGGATTATTTTGTTACCTTTTTTTTTTTCTAAATAAGTTTACTATGTTCTGAGATGTTACCCAGTTTTTATGTAAGAAACAATGCATTCAGCCGGGCGATGGTGGCGTACACTTTTAATCCTAGCACTCGGGAGGCAGAGGCAGGCGGATCTCTGTGAGTTCGAGGCCAGCCTGGTCTACAAGAGCTAGTTCCAGGACAGGCTCCAAAGNGGGGGGGGGGGGGGGGGATGGCACAGTTTGATCTGTAGAAATAATGTCAACAATGGTAAGAATAGAGCCAGGCATGATGCCTGGTGCCTCTAATCCCAGCTGTAAAGGAGATGGGATACAGGAAGACGAGGAAGTAGTTTGAGCTACAAGAGACCTTGTTGCAAAATGGAAATTGCACAAGCACCAAACAGTAATAATAACTTTGAAAAAGATTTATTTTTATTTATATGTGCGTCACCCATGAACAAAACTGGAGTAATCAGCAGGGCAGTTTCTTTTTGTCAAAAGGATGGTTGCCATCAGCACCCAAACGTGGTCAGGGAACACAGTCAGGCAAGATGGCCTCTGTCTTTTGCTTCTGATGGAGGCAGTAACGGCCAATCAACCCATTGGCCACGAGTCTACAATCTGATGGGATTGGCTAATGAGGCAAGGGGAAGAGAAGGTTTAGAAGCTAGGGATACTTGTCAGTTAGGCTTACTATCTTTGCGGAAAAAAAAAAAAAAACCACTTCTCACATATCCATGTGCACATCTGTGTGAATATATCCCACTCATGTATTTGTGTGGCTGCCTTCAGAGGCCCTTGGGGCTAGAGTAAGTTATAGGAGGCTGTAGGCCACTGGCATGGATGTTGGAATTAAAACTTGGGTTCTCTGAAACAGCAGCAAGTGCTCCCAACTGCTGAGCCACCTCTCCGGCCCCGATATCTTTAAAATATATTAGACACCGAGGACTTTAGAGTTAATTTAGCCTCACAATAACCCTACATAGTAGGCACTACTATTTTTCTCATATGATCAGTGATGAAACCAGGATTTGTGATGCTGAAGTCACCAGCGCGCCTCAGGCTCGACTCCGGAGCACCTGCACAGATCAGTTCCTGGCGTGTACAGCAGACCTTGACCGAGGGACCAGGCACTTTTGTTCTCGGTTTCTTGTTCTGCTCATCACTTCCTGTGGATTATTTTGTTACCTTTTTTTTTTTCTAAATAAGTTTACTATGTTCTGAGATGTTACCCAGTTTTTATGTAAGAAACAATGCATTCAGCCGGGCGATGGTGGCGTACACTTTTAATCCTAGCACTCGGGAGGCAGAGGCAGGCGGATCTCTGTGAGTTCGAGGCCAGCCTGGTCTACAAGAGCTAGTTCCAGGACAGGCTCCAAAGCTGCGGAGAAACCCTATCTCGAAAACCCAAAAAGAAAAAGAAAAGAAAAAAGAAACAATACATTCATCCTGTAAACCGAGAGTGCACAGGGAAGAAGGGGCGCCCTCTATTATTCAGTGTGACAGGTGTAGAAATAGGGGCCTGTGGACACAGGCAGACTGGCAGCAGGACCTGGCAGAAGGAAGTTTAGAGAAGGCAGAGATGCCAAAGGGACCAAGGAGGCCAGGGATTGGGTACCCATCCCAGCAAGGGTGCATGGTCCTTGTGAGACAGGTCCAGTGTGCTAGGTGGCAACTTGACTTTAGGAGCCACAGGGTATTTATACATGGCTGGAATGTGACTGGACCTCTTCTGGTCTGGGTTTGTGATACTTAATATTGTCCACTTGACAGGACCTAGGATGTAGGAGACAAGCTATGAATGACTGATTAGGTTGAAGAGAGAAGATCCATCTTAACTGTGGGCAGCATCCTCACATGGGCTGGGCTTCTGTAGTGAATGGAAAGGAAGAAAGAGCGGAGGACCAGCATTCCTCTCTCTGCTTCTGGTCTGTGGATGTGACGTGACCGACCTCCCCCTCCCTCCTGCCGTCATGCATTCCCTGCCATGATGGATCGTACCTGCAATAGATGAGGCCAAACAAACCCTTCCTTCCTTAACTGTCTTTGCTGCAGAAACAAGACAAGCAACTAATGCACAGTCTACACCTGCAAATACTTTCATATTGAACATTGTTATAGCCACATTAGATTATTGTGTGTGCGTGTGTGTATGTGTGTGTGCATGCATGCTTGCACACCATGGGATGTGTGTGTGTGGAAATGAGAGGATAACTTGTGAGAGTTCTCCTACTATGTGACTCCCAGGAATCAAACTCAGGTCACCAGGTTTGACTGAGCCTTATCATAAACTGTAGCCCCCTTAAAATGCTTATCCTTTTATATGTTATAAGATATAAGGTCCACCAGCAGGCTGTCATAGGCATTATTCCATCAGTTCATTCCTAAAGTCTCAGGACACAGTTATTATATTTTTAAATGTTTTCTTTATTATTTATTATAAATACAGTGTTCTGTCTGCATGTATACCTGCAGGCCAGAAGAGGAAGCAGACCTCATTACAGATGGTTGTGGGCCACCATGTGGTTGCTGGGAATTGAACTCAGGACCTTTGGAAGAGCAATCAGTGATCTTAACCTCTGAGCCCTCTCTCCAGCCCAGACACAGTTATTATTAGCACCCTCCACTGATGAGAAAACCGAGTGAGATGTTAGGCAAAGGCTGAAGGCCATGCAGAAGGTCCACCTAGACCTGGCCTTTCTGCTGAGCTCTAGGCTGGGAATTTCTCCTGCTCCTTTCCCCTTCTCTCCCCTCTCTGCCTTCCTCCCGCTCCCCTCTTTTTCTCTTGTTCTGGGGTGAGTTAGTTTTCTTGTAGGTGTGACAAAGGCTTAAGAGCAGGTTGACTTGTCTCATGGTTTAACGTGTTTTTTGCCGTGGGAAACTGACGAAGGGAAGCTGCCATGCTTTGCAGCAGACATGGAAAGAAGGATCAGGACGTTCATTACATTGATGGGCTCAGGGGAGTTGTCCTGGTACCTGAGCAACTGCAGAGGTTCCTGGTATTTATGGGCTTTTCAGCATTATTTCAAATGATTACATCATTGCTAGACTTAAGTGTCTATTAGCCTTAGAGGATCCCAAGACTGAGATCAAAGCAAAAATTCCTTTCTTGTGGCCAGGCCTGGGAAAGTCTGCTATTTGTCCTTTCTGTAAAACAGGATAATTGCTGACAGCTGTTTTACCAGGTAGCAGTGAGTAGCCATGTTATGATAAAAGCTACAACAGAAAAGGCAGAACAGAATGCTGTGAAGAAGGGAAGTGAGCAGACGTGATGAAGCTCCCACCAAAGATGGACGTAGGCTAGAATCCTTTCTGGTAAGGTACTGTCTCGTGGTGCTACACAGATTATTAGAAATGGGTTAGTCGAGATGTGAGAGTTAGCCAAGAAGAGGCTAGATATAATGGTCCCGGCAGTATTTAAAAGAATACAATTTGTGTGTTGTTATTTCGGGGCATAAGCTAGCCAGGTGGCCGGAGGCTGGACTGCAGGAAACGCAGCCCACTGTTCCTTCTAAAGGGCTGTAAACAAGGCATTCCAGCTACCCAGTCAGTCAAGGAGTAAGAAGGAAAGAAAGAGGGCTGGAGAGATGGCTCAGAGGTTAAGAGAACTGACTGCTGTTCCGGAGGTCCTGAGTTCAATTCCCAGCAACCACATGATGGCTCACACCCATCTATAATGAGATCTGGTGCCCAGAACCCTATATACATAATAAATAAATTTTAAGAAAAAAAAGAAGGAAAGAAAGATATATAAAATAAAGGTAAAAAGCCCAGAGGCAAAATGTAGTTAAAAATAAATGGGATAATTTAAGTTAGAAAAGCTGGCTAGAAACAAGCCAAGCTAAGGTTGGGCATTCATAAGTAAGAAGTCTTTGTGTATTTATTTGGGAGCTGGCTGGTGGGCCCCCAAAGAGTAAAAAAAATAAACAGTTACATATCATGATCACAGCATTTCTCACAAACACTAAATAAATAAAAAGAAAGTTGAGCTCCTGGGAGGGGAAGCACATGCCTATCATCCTATTTTTCAGAGAGGTATTCAAGGCTCCTACTGAGATCCTTGTAATCCCATAATCCCTATGATCCCAGTATGGCAGAGGCAGGGGCAGAGGCGAAGGCAGAGGCAGAGGCAGAGGCAGAGGCAGAGGCAGAGGCAGAGGCAGAGGCAGAGGCAGAGGCAGAGGCAGAGGCAGAGGCAGAGGCAGAGGCAG